GGATCCGCCCTTGGGTGGCGCCACAGTTGAAATTAAGCCATTATCTTGTGCCTGGTTGTTTTCGTTTTTATCTAAAAATGCGTCCACTTTCTGCCTCAAGTTCCACTTAATGAATGCCGTTTCGTCGTGGACGAAGTCTTTATCCACTGGTAGAAAATCGACTGTTGTACCTACCTCAAATGGATCTTCAGATATGACCAAACTGATATCATATTTGCGCCAATTAATCGAATATGTCTATTCGCAAAAAACGTGTTGAAAGTTATTGCGGGAAATCTGCTAATAGTTTCAACTGATGTGTTACTTCATAAATATGTTCTTTAATTCTCCATCCTGTGGTGTAGGAATGGGCGCACCAACTGAATTTGGTCCTGAGATATCAGCAAAAAAGTGTTCTTCAATTTATTGAAAAACTTCTAGATTTAAATTAGAAAAACCTCCAAGCTACTCAATATATTTTTTATTCTAAATCTACATCTTTGAACTATCTATTGTTACTTTGATCGCATTTAAAAATATTGCAATTTCCCCCTGCAATGCCCACATTGGCTGCATGATCCACCTCTTTAATCACATACTCGTAAGTATCATCAGTTGAATAAGCCATCATTTTGGCTGCTTTCAATAAAACGTCGCCAGCATTCACGTACTTCTTCGCTTGAACTGGCTGATGACAGGCGATGTTCTGCAAACATCCGTTATCCCCTGGAGAGCCTAAAAACTTCCATTATTTGTACTCTGAAAGCGTCTTCCAAGGTTTGGAAAATACCTGTTAGATAGCTTAAGAACATCAGCACTTCTTCGTCGGTTAAGAAACGGCCGCTTTCTTCATCGGCAGAACGCGCGAAGTGATCTGCAATATCAGCCATATACAAAAAGCCTTTCTGGTAGATGGTTTTTCAAGTCAATATTACCTCCACCTTTTTGCCCAGCTAAAGAAGCGGCAGCAAAGATGAGCGCTTTCAGCAGAACCAAAATGAGAAGGTTGGTCACGTTGAGGGAGACCACTTGGGAACCCATTCCAGTCGTGCCGTAGCCTCTGGACATTAGACTAGTGGCCAATGAGGTAAGCATATTCTTTGCATCGAACCCCCTAGGAGAAATATGTAATATTTTCATTTCGTTGTTACCAATCAAGAGCAATGTGAAAACGCGATAGAGTAGGATATCGGGCTGTATATACTCAATAATTTTTTAGGAGTTGTGAAGGTGTTTAGAAGGTGCGGCAACCCAACGCACCGGCGCAGTAACTCAGTTCCGTTGCTGGGAAAATGTGGATGACTTATTTCACTTGTTTTTAGATTTATTTTAAGCGCCATTTATCAATAATATTTTAGTTTTAATATTTCTTCAAAATTTAAGAATTTTCCAGTTTTAGCAGAGTTACTCCTTTTTCTAACTGCGCAATTTTCTAAAGATTCCTTTAAAAATACTGACAATCCTAAGGTATTTTTCGTGAAAAGTTATGAAACACTCGTCTCCTTCGTCCCTTTGTAAAAAGTTTTGAAATCCCTTTCCAGCTTCGAATTTGGGACAAAAGTTAAATAATTTTCTATCAAAAAACGAGCTGAATAAGCGAAAGTTTATAATAAATTATTTGGAAAACTCGTCACTTCCAATACTATCAACTGTAGAGTTTGTTAAAAAAAATATATTTTTTAGTTTTGACTGAATTTTTTTTTGCTTTGCTATCTACTCAAAAACGCTCCATTCTGTAGAGTTTTACTTAAAAATTCTGACGATCTGGATCTATTTTACGCGAAAAATTACAAGATATGGATATTTATAGCGATGTAGGTATTTTCTAAAACTTTTTTCGGAGTTGAATTCGGGACAAAAACGAAAATAAATGTATCCCGTTTTTTCCCGAGAACTATAAAAGTTTTTGCAAAAACCGATCACAAAACTAAAAGTTTTAAATCAAAAACAAAAAAAATACAATTTTTTCATTATTCTCTTTTTTTCCGACAATAATGGGGCAAAAATGACTACCATTATTAATTTTGCTAGAAAACTTGCCTCGTTCATCGGCCTGCAGGAAACTTTAGAAAACCCTTTTCAGCTTCGAATTTGGCACATAAACCAAATAATTTTATTCAGTTTTTCCCGAAAGTAATTAAGGTTATGTTGAAAAATCGACCAGAGAGCAAAAGTTTGCAAAAAATAATTAGGAAAATTCGCCGCCGTCATCGCTCTGAAGATTTTTAAAGTTTCTATAAAATTTCAGGTCATTCCAGTTTTAACAAAGTTTTTTTAAGCAATTCTCTACCCAAAAACGCTTTATTTTCTAGTTTTCCTTAAAAATACTGACAAATTATGAAATAAATTTTATTAGAATACTCGCCTCCTTCGTCGTTTCGGAAAGTTTCGAAATCCCTTTCCAGCCTCGAATTTGGGACAAGAATCAAATAATTTTCTATCAACAAACGAACAGAATCAGCGAAAGTTTATCATAAGCTTCGAATTTGCCCCAAAAACCAAATAATTTTATTCAATTTTTACCGAAAGTAATTAAAATTATATTGAAAAAAGGGCCAGAGCAAAAGTTTCCAAAAAAATTACTTCTAAAATTCGCTATCCTCATCGCTCTGAATATTTTTCAAATTTCTTTAAAATTTCAGGTCATTCCAGTTATGGCAAAGTTTCTATTAACCAATTCTTTCTACGCAAAAAACGTAATATTTTTAGTTTTACGTAAAATACTGACAATCTTCAGGTATTTTCTGTGAAAATTATAAAATACATTTTATTGGAACACTCGGCTCCTGAACAGCTTTCTAATTTTTTTTTCTGGAATCTTTTGCCGCTTCGAATTTTGGACAATACCCTAATTTTTCCTGGATTTTCTCTCAAAAATATTTCCCCGAACAGAACAAGTGAAAGTTTGTAATCAATTATTCGGGAAACTTGCCACTTTTGTCGCTGTGAATAATTTTTATCTAAATTCCGGTTTCTTCACTTTTAAGTCAATATTCTATAAGTCTTTTATGCAAAAAAGTCAAAAGATGGATTTTACAAGAAAGTCGTCGTCTTTACAGTTTGCTCTTCTTTATCGTCTTTTTGGAATACCCGTTTTACYWTTGAATTTGGGACAAAATCGAAACAAAGTTATCTTGTTTTTTTTTAACAAAATCTAGGWTTTCTCAARAAACGACYAGARAAAGCAAAGGGATATAATCATTATTTGGAAAACTCGTCCTCCTCATCGYTCTGAAATTTTTTTATGTTTYTTCAAAATCTTAAATAACTCATTAACCAATGAGTTAAAACTCCTTAACTCAGAGAGCGGCAACCCCTCAAAMGCGCAACTCAACACAGTGTTACTCAGGCCTGGTAGGGTAAGAGGTGAAGAAATCAGATAAAGATGATTTTTATCTTTGGAGTTTATTATTATTTAGAKAATATTTTTGCAGCAGAATCACTAGGAAAAACATACAAGTTTTGCAATAGATGTTAATGAATAATAGATGCAATAATTTAGCAATAAGACGAAAACCAGAAAGCAAATGTAAGAAATTGCAGATGCTCATAAAACCTTGTTAAATACTTTCCCAAATTTTTACCGCAAGGAAAAATTTACTCCGTATAATTTRTGTTGCACATTCGATGCTCCAMTCTTTTTTCATTATATTTATGTTTTGTTTCTTAAGTCCACTAATTTTACGCTTTATTTCGACGTTATATCATCGTTTTTATCTTTGCTGGCCTAAACAAGCAAACTCGAGCAATAACCACAAGTTAAATTTCTAGAGTTCGAAAGAACAAAATAACATGCAACTGAAATTATCCTCAAATTTCCTCAAATAGCCTGTTGAACTTACAGAGTAGAGTTTTCGTCTGTATACTTTCTAGTGACAATTTAAAAATCTACCCAAAAGTGAAAACCTTAAATAATTAAAATAATCAAACTATTCAAAGAATGATTTCATATTGATTTGGAATCTGAAATTGTTACTTTTTCAGCCTCTCCAATACAGGGCACCATTGAAATAGGCGACAAAGCGTATCTTCTTGATGCAGCTTTAACAGAAATCCTTTAATGTAAACCTAATATTATTTGGTAACTTTAGTAATTGTAGGAAAACTTTCGCTCACCTTGCTATACTGTTACTATCATAGCCAGTTGTGCTTGAAGCGCTGTAACTACTGCCACTCAGCGATGCAGCTACAACCAGGAAAACAGCCACTTGAGCCCACATACTTGACGGACGCACAAGCACCAAATACAGCCGCTTTTCATTAATTTATTGCTTATATAATGGTGTTGTTAATTCGGGCACATAAGCATGAAAAATTGAGTTATTTTTTTGCAAAACAATCCCGAAATCTGTGCATTGTCTAATAATAATAATGGACATATTGTCTTTGATACGCTTCGTAGTAGAGAAAACCCAGACGAGGAAGATTATGATAGTGAAAACCGCAACTTTTACTTAATGTTAATTCGAGTGAATAAATGATAGATTGGGATTGAGAGTGTCAAGCCTTCAACTTTGAAGGGCCTTTGAAGGGACTGCTCTAACTTCCCTATGCGCAGCCATCCAAGTGCGCTCTATCGATCGGGAGTTTTTGAGGAGGATAACCTCAAAAGTGCCCCTAAAGACGAGAAAATCCGGTTTTTTAAACTGCTGCCAAGTTGTTTGGACTTCTTTCGACCTCAGAGTAAGTGTTAAAACTTTCTCCTTTAATTCAACAGGGCGAAAAAAACTAACGCTAACTAGGTCACATCGGCCGCACGAAATTCGTCCATCGAAACTATAACAGGTGTCGAAATATGCCGCCCTTCAAGGGCCTCCATGGGGGTGATTAAAAGTCCTTTAGCTACGGGGCGCAGCGCTCAAAGCACTTGAGCTCAACACCATGCTTCCACCATATGGACCTGTACGCCCCTTTCCATCGTCATCGGAGATGTTATCTGACGCCTTAATGACTATCCCTGGGGGTCATGTATGTTCGCATTGTTATTAGAGCATGCAGGGTGGGACTTTCGTACTTTCTACGGTTGAATTTCACTAGAAATTGAAAATGTGTCCTCGTTGGCCTTGTCTGCGTGAAGTTCTTAATCATTTTCTTTTATTGCTCCGATGCTGTTGTTTCTGTGACAGTTTTTTTCATTCCTGTTGTTCCATTTGTTGGCACGCCTCTTTTGTCTTGGACTATCGGTTTTTTATGTTTTCTCTAGTCCTTTAATTTATCTTTTAAATTTATCGTCTTCAGTACGTGTGTTTAGTGTATACCGTTTTCTTTCGCGTTTGATTAGTCTTAGTATGAGTTTGCGTAAAATGCGTTGGCTTTCTCCTAAAAAATGAATAACTTCGTTTAGTGCTCTTCTTCAATCTCTGAGCCAATTATTCACACTGACCATATTTTCAGAAAAAACAAAAAATCTGTCTGATTTACTGACTTTATTCCAAGCCAGAATCTCGCACTGTATAATTAGATACTTGGTCCCTGGCATTTTATCCTCAATTCTGGTTTTCTTCGCCTCCTTGATCTGGGTTTAATTTCATCAACTTCAAGTTTAACAAACAAATCTATTAATGTCGGACAAATTGGACGATTTAAGTTGGTCCAGGTCTAATGAAAGTTTTAACGGACTACTCGTTGCTCATACATTCAAGCCTACAATGCAACAAATTCCCGGCCTGTCTCCCATGTATCGAACCCCTTCATTAGCCACTCATTACAATTCCCTGCTGAATGTCTGCCTGTCAACACTTACATTTCAATTCTTTTCAATAAAAGTCCACACTCTATAACAGTACAGCATATAAAAAGCCACCCTCTCAAAAAGAACCCTCGATTTCCGAGACATGGAGTCAACATCCAAGTGATTCCAGAACATTTTTGCCTACCCTTAGGGGCTAATATTCTTCAAATTAGCAAAAAACAGTTCCTAGTTTGTAGCGGGTAGAATCTAAAAAAACCTTCGAGTTAATTTTTGATTAATCCTGCCTTAATTTGCGCTGCTACATTGGTGGCTGTCCACATTTCAGAACGCGTTGATTCAATGTGGCAGATTTCCCGCTGCTAAACTCTCCAGGGTTTGAGCCCAATATTCATGAATGGTTCCGGATTTAGGGGTCTTTATTTTGATGTTTATTTAATTATGGTCAAAAGATATGGGGTTTCGGGGGATTAATTGTGCCTTTTCATCGCACATCTTTGACGACGCATTCAGTGTGTTCCAATCAATTGGCTTTGTTTCAATAAACGTTTCTTAGTTTTCAGATAGAGCACATTTCAATGAGGAAAGAAGCTGAAATTAATCTGGCTCTAATGCTGTTGTTCTGCTGGTCGGGAGTGGCTGCTCGAGGTCCTCACCATCCTCGGGACTCCCCAATACAGAAAAGACACGTTCATTATTCGCCGAACAGAAATTCGGACAAAATCACCCAGAATCAGGAAATGATTCTAGACGAAGTGCATCTTAAAGTAAATTTTAATTTGATAATAGTGGTTGAAATTTCCTTTATCACTTGGAGACTTTGGATATTGTCCTCAAGACACTAAGTTTTCAAGCTTCATGTTAGAAAAACATTTTTTAATAACATCCTACTAGAAGTTTGGAAAGAACAAATTTATGATGATACGTTCACTCATCAGACAAAATGCTATCTACAGTTATTATGGATTTTCTCTCTGACAGTACACTATGGAGTTTCTGAGCTTAACATGGACGATCAAACTCATTTACTTAACATTTTTACTATAATTTTTGCACGATAAAACCTTGAACTCAAAAGTCCTTCAAATTAGATGAAGCTGAAATAATTCATACATTGATCAAATGAGTTCGGCTTTCGTACTTGCAACTGGCGAGTTTTTTGGGCTTTTAGGCAGTCGTGAAAAGTAATTTGTGGCAGATGTTTCGCAAGCACGAGTGACTTGCATCTTCAGAGGTCTTTTGCTCGTTGAACACATTTATTAACATATCGTTTAATGTGTTCAGTTCAGTTTCAGTGTCCAAAAGTGGAATAAGTTTTTAGTGTCGGGTTATTTTTAAGAAGTAATCAATCTCAAAGAGAAATTCGTTTGCATATTGAAATTATCGACCAAAACCAAAGATTTCAGACGTTGATACAAAAAACCCAAAGAAAGTGAAAGATTAACACTATCTTAAAAAAGCTCAGTCGAACCCCAAAGATGACTTGAAATTGATGAATGAAATTAATTATTATTCAAAACTGCGAAATTTGCAAAAACCTATATTACAAAAACGGCAACAATGTGTTTCAAAAATTGTAGAAGAGCACTTTTTTAATATCAAAAATTTTCGTAATTTGAAGCAAACATCGTAATTTTGCTTTTTGAATGCTTAAGTATTCCAATATGCTTCCAATTAAACATAGAACACTTTCAAAATAATGCTTAATAACAAAGTTGAATGTCGATTTTCAACTGTTAATATTTTCTAGAAATTATCGAAAAAAAAATTTAACTATTTTTGTGGTACCTTCCAAGTAAGCCCCTATTATTTATGAATTTTGAATCACCCTGTATATAACAACCAACACATGGCCTGAATTTGATCCTTCTAGATTAACAGGAGCCTGAATAAATAAAAAGACTAAGTATCTAAAATAATTTTTGTATAATACTTTTTATGCCAATCTATAAGAACTTTTAGTCTAGTTCCGGGACAAACACAAATTTAACCGCAGTTAAACTGCAGCAATTGGAAGCTTTTTAAAGAGCTTCCAGAACAAATTATATTCTTCTAACTAATGAATCGGCTTGATGTTGAAGGAAGATATGGAAGAAGAAGCGCCGAACATTAACGTAGACAACCTGACCACTGCTGAGCAGGAGCTGTATTATTTCCTGCTGCACGACAAAGATAAAAACTCAAAATTGGACGGTTTTGAGTTGTTAGAAGCTCTTCGGCATACTCTTCACGGCGACAACAACTATCAAGCATTTTTATATTACACTGACGAGGAACCTAATACCAGCGCGGATGACAAAGTGTTTAATCGCTTTACTGGTGAGTTGATATAAGGATGATTTAGTGAGTTTTAATACTGTATTTGTGGTTTGCCTGCAGAATTGGTTGACAGAGTTCTGCGCGAAGATGACACGAACCACGATGGGTACTTGGATTATGCCGAATATGCCGAGGCGAGAACCAAAGCTAAACCTAAACAACCAGACCAGGTTCAAAACGAATAATTTTTCCTGTAACTTTGTTTTACCATTGTGTAGTTAACTTGATAACTGAAGTTTGTATTAGAGACGAATAAAGAACCCCTTTCCCAGTTTTAAAAAGCCTTGTAAATAATAAAAAAAACCACCTAAAGTGGAAGGAAAATCAGACAGCGTTGATGGGCTAACCGGAGAGAGGATCTTTTTAATTTTTCGCCCTGTTGAGCACTGATCCGATTGACAAAAGTATTCAAAGGGATAATCAGGATAATTCGCTCGGGTTTGAGAGGGATTACCTGGACCGAATTGTGGCGATTTTGCTCGACACATCGATGGCTGGCAATGGAAACGTTAGTATTTCTATACTATGGCGAGTTAAATGTTCAATGCTAGAGGGAAATTAATGGATGTTGGGTTGTTTGGTTCATTTAATTGACTTGTAACTCCCCAAAAAACCCATATTCAACTATATAGGGGGCTTAAAATATTGTCCTTATTTTTTCGTAATTGCTTTTGTTTGTCTGTTTTGTGCGTTTTTTGTGGTCGATGAAGTATATAAAACTTTGAGCAACAATGCAGCTAATAGAGAACTCTATCGAGTCAACTGTGTATACGTTATGAGGTTTGGGTTCATTTTCCTTTTGTCTCCCAAGTCGAAAATTGTAATAATTGTATTGCAACTAGATAGTACTTCCTGTGCCATGGACGGTTATTTTCTTTATACCATAGAAATGCTTGAAAAAGCAATTTATTTCAAAAATTTTCAAAATACGTCTGTTGATATTCATGCGGGAAATTTAGTATATTTTCTCAAATTAGCTCTAGAAGCTTTACACAGAGAGTTTACTATTTTAAAAAGACATTCATGATTGATAAAAGACAATCATGCTCGTATAAATTATCAGAAAATTAAATGCAATGCAAATAACGTTTAATGATGAACTTTTTAAACATTTTCAATTAAATATTGCAGAGAATAGTAATTTTCCATTTATATTTTGTTGCTTCCAGCCAGATACTCAAAAATAATATTTTCATCGCTTTATTTAGAAGAATTAATTGAAAAAATTATGAAAACTAGCACACATTAAACTCTGAATCAAACTTGCCTTAAGTAATAAAGTGGCACTCATATTCGTACAAATGATGATAAAATATTAATTTAAATTAAAGTACGATTTTTAATAAAAACCGTGGCAATATTTTCCATTAAATATTACAGCAGTAAATAAAAAAATAGTAATTTGAGATACGAAAATATTTGAAAATGCTACTCTTTTCTAGAAGTAGTCTGTTTGTCTGAAATAATTTTATTCAAATAATGTTTTTAGGCAACTCTGGCCACTCATATAATTTATGCTTTTCGATTAAAACATTTTAAACATTTTCAATTAAATATTGCACAGAACAATAATTTTCCATTTATATTTTGTTTCTTCCAGCCAGATACTCAAATATAATATTTTCATGCCTATTATTTAGAAGAATTAATTGAAAAAATTATGAAAACTAGCACACATTAAACTTTGAATCAAACTTGTCTTAAATAATATAATAAAGTGGCAATCCTATTCGGACAAATGATGATAAAATATTAATTTAAATTAAATGACGATTTATAAAAAAAACCGTCGGAATATTTTCCATTAAATATTACAGCAAATAGTAATTTGAGATATAAAAATATTTTGAAATGCTACTCTTTTCTAGGAGTAGTCTGTTTGTCTGATATAATTTTATTTAAATAATGTTTTTGGCCAACTCTGGCCACTCATAAAATTTATCCTTTGCTTGTTCAAACAAGATAGCCATAAATAATTTTCTAGGTCGTGATCTGTTACACGAATTAATAGTAAAAAATTGTGGAAACTGAAAAAGACATCTACCTTCCCAAGAAATAAAGTGATGCTTATACCCGGTGAAATTATGCGAAAATATAAATTTTAATTAATAGCGTTTAATTATAAAAAGCGATAAAATATTTTTCATTAAATATTACGAAAATTGCAATTTTACATATTAAAAAAATCGGAAAACCTAGTTCTTTGTTAAAGTAATCTGTTAGTCTGAAATATTTTTTGATATTTAAATTTTCGCCAAAATACAAGCCTTTCAGGAATTTACTTGTTCGGTTTCTTCGAACGTAATATTAATGAATACTCTGATTGATCGTTTTCATTTAGAAGAATGCATTGTAAAAAATAGTCGAAACTTGAAAACGCATTTAATTTTTAACAAATCCGCAATGTTTCAACGTTTTACCTAAAATATTGATGATAATATTAATTTAACATATAATGCAGACATTTTGAAGAGCTTTGTTTTTTAAGCTAGTTTCTTCTGACTGAAATTAAAATTTCTAACGAGCTTTTGTTTCCTCAACCCGGACACTGATTTTCTGTCGTTATTAGAAATAAAAAATAATGTTAACTTGACAATGCATATAACTTGCTCTGAAGCATATCTTTAGTAGGAAAGCAATAATCGTACTTGCATAAATTATGGTAAAAGTTTGATTTTATTAAATTAGTGTTTTATAATAAAAACAATTTGATCGATTTTCATTAAGTCTTAAAGAAAACAAAGATTATATTATAAAAAGACACTATTTCATTCTGTAGTCGATGTCTTATTCGAAAATAATTTTATTTAAATGTTACAAAAGTGACAATCATACGCATATAAATTACGAGCAAACAAGTAATAAATTAAAATATGCTTAACCGAATAAAACGTGTTAAACGGTTAACTTAAATCTTAACGATAAAATTAGTGTGCATGCAGTGTTGCAATTATGAAGATATTCTGAACAGCTACTGACTTCTAGCTAGAGTGACTTCGTCTCTCTTGAATTTTTCTAACTGACTATGCAAGTATATGCCATTTGGGCGTTCGATTTGTTGGCCATTCGAGCAGCATACCCAAACACATTTGATTTTATTCGGTTTCAAACTTCTCCTATTAGTCTCTCACACTGAAAATTATTCTATAAATTAGCACAGAAAGCAAATTTCAATGCAGTCCTATAGTAAAAGGCCTGAATTGCTTCCTGTCTATGGATATATGATGTTATGGCTGTTCAATTGGGCATGAGTTTCAAAGCGAATTCGGGCAGCAGTGCTTAAAAGGGCCGGAATAAATATTATGCAGATACACGTGTTTTCCACTCGTTGATGAAGGCGGAAATTCCACACAAGCCGGAAAGGAAACCTGCCTGAACTGTATACTGAAACAGTGTGGAACATTATATTAGCTGATACTTCTAGCCAGTGCCGTTCAGCGAATTTAATAGATCTATAAACTAGCTAAGATATAATTTTTTTGAAAGACGTTTATTTGTAAAAACTGTGCAGAAATCCTGACCAGAGGGTCATGACCGGAACCAGTTAAGCTCGTTACAATTCAGTAACAATTAGGCCCCATTTGAGACCGCCAAAGCTTTCGGCAATTTTTTTCTCCACCACTGCCGCCCCCAATCAATACCATGGTGGAGCTGGCGGCGATGTGCGGTTTCCATGGAGACGCCGCCATAGCACGCACCCGTTCATCTCTTACGACCGGCGGCATTTTGTCGAATACCTGCATGGTTGGATTACTGCTGCTCCCCTAAAATGTGGGGACCGATAGTTTTTCCGGGAGAATTTTGGAGTCAACTTTCCACAGATTTGCCCCACGGGTACGAGCAAGAAACGGCATTTCAACGCTTACCAACTCTGTACAGACCGATGCAAATATTTCTGCAGGAGCAGAACAGTAGATAGTTGAGGATTCAATTTAATGCATGCACTTGTTCGCAACTTACTAGAATTAGTGGAAACACCTGCAGCAGTGATGCGGTGTGCATTTGGTTTTAGTCTTATAATCTTCGTCGATGCCATCAATAGCCAGAAAACCGACAGTGTCTAACATATCTATTCGAAAGGACAATATTTTGAAAATCCAAAACAAAAACATTTCAAAAACATGGATGTCCATTGGGCATTATTAATGCCATGGCATGTCGCTAATGTTGGCAGGTGGATGAATACTTTTACGTGCTGCTGTGAAGCCTCCATACAATGCAAATGGAAGCTTTTAAAAGCCACTAACCTGGCATGGAAAAAATTATTCGCATTTGAAATGGATGTGTGTTGCCACAGTATGTGGAATATGGAGGAAATGGAAAAAATTTTCAACCTACTATAGTGTCAAAGAAACACGAGTCGGGTGGAATTTTTTTACTGGACAAATACTGCCAATTTTGTTAAATCTTTGCTTATTTATTTAATAGTTGCTTTAATGGCAGTTTAACGCTTCCTTCTGCCATTCCGTTGCTCCATGTTTAAATGAATAAATGAATATGATGAATTAGCAAACGCTTTTTATTTTATTTTTATGTTGTGTATATAAAACTTCGTGTTTGTTACTTTATTTTATGTAAACCATGATTTTTGTTTGCTGGCAATAACAAACATGCTGGCTTTATTTGTGCTCTAATTTTGCTGATGCCAAATGTATCTCATAGTTTTGTAATTTTTTATGTTCCGATATTCATTTGATTCAGTTTCGATTCAAATTTTAGTTTTTATACTTTTAACAGACATTCTTTTGTTGATTTTATGGAAGAGTAGTACGTTTTTTGGTTTTCATAGGCAAATAATTTGTTTTCCATTTGCATAAAATTCAATTTGAATTTTTATAATTTTATATACAGGGTGATTCAAAATTGGCGTAATTCCTTTTAAGGGGTAATAGGAACTCACTTGGAAGGTACGAGAAAAATATTGACATTTTAATTTCGAAAATTTCTATATAAGATATTAACAGTTGAAAATCGAATTTCAACTTTGTTATTAAGCATTATTTTGAAATTGTTCCATGTTTAATTGGAAGCAAATTGGAATACTTAAGCATTCAAAAAGCAAAATTACGATGTTTGCTTCAAATTACGAAAATTTTTGATATTAAAAAAGTTCTCTTCTACAATTTTTTGATGAAAAGTCAAAGCGGCAATGATGTTTTTTCGTCATTAACAGACAGTTACAGGTGGATACCCCTTGTCAATAATAACAATAATTTGCCAATAACGAATTTGCAAATATGCGATTAGTTCAGGGGAAATGCTACAGTAACATAGCAGAAGC